GGGAGTCCCCAGGGCCCCGCGTAGGCTGGGGAGCACGGGCAGTGGGCGGCACGTGCTGCGGGGCCGGCCAAGGTGCGAAGCCCTGCTCTCCCAACCGGGGCTGGAGGCCGGCACCTGCCAGAGTTGCTTCTGCAACTTCTGTGGGTTTGACCCTAAAGGGCCCGAGCTACACCCACTCTCTTGCCAGCACCCTCGGTCCCCATACAGCCCAGAATGTCACACCTTTCATCTCAGGCTTTTGCACACACACACCTGTCCCGACCTGGAAATCGCTCATCTCAAAATGAACAAACGCTCCCGACCAAGTGAAACTTAGCCAAGGTCCTCCGGATCTCCTAGGGGCCCACCTGTCACTGACCGCACACACCACCACCACCTGGTGGATGTTGGCAGCACTGGCCTCGTTTCCTACGGCAGGCCACTAAAGGATGCCTACTTTCGCAGAATTTTGTATCCACTGCTGAGGACGAGGTGTTTTGTTTTGTTTTGCACAGAGAACTCCCAATTTAGTCGAATATGCAAAACAGACAAGAAGTGAATGAGGCCAAGATTTGTAAGACGCACTCTTTGCCCGCCAGGGGAGAAATGTTAAAGAAAAGTATTTGTTAATGTACCAGGGGAGAAAGATGAGGCTGTCTAGATTTTACAGTCCCAGCTAGTAACCATGAGAACAAGAATGAAAAAAACTGTTCTAAAACTGATTGTGGTGATGATTGTACAACCCTTCTCGATGTGATTGAGCTGATGAATTGTTTGATATTTGAACTCTATGCCAATAAAATAAAAAATATTTTACATCCTGAGACTATACCTACGGTGTCTCTGCCATCCACGTGATGCCAACTCATAGTGACCCCGTAAGACAGAGTAGAACTGCCACTGTGACTCTAAGACCATAACTCTTTATTAGAAAGCCTCTTTTTCTTTACACAGCAGCTGGTGGTTTCAAACTACTGACCTTGCAGATCACAGGCCAATGCATAACCACCTCACCACCAGGGCACTTTATCTATAGAGTCCCCAAGAGGCAGGCATTGCCTTGACCTTGACGGCAATGGGTTTTAGGCTACGGGAAGTCCAGAGTGCTATGAGAGTCCTACCCTAGATGAGGGTTTTCCAGCAGGCTTGAGGACAGGAAATGACCTTGAAGCTGCTCTCTGAAAATAAGGAGGATGCTGTCCCCTCAAGGTCTACCAGTGGCCAGTAGGTATACTTTCATTGCTGAACCACTGAGGTGGCTAACACGCCAAGCAGACATCAGAGGCATCCCGCTGCCCACTTTTGGTCCTCTCTCCCAGAGTGAGAGGAAGTGAGGAATATGGGGCCAGAGGTGACTAATGACCATGGGGCCATGTGGGCTGGAGACGGGAGACCAGAGCAGCTGTCAGATGGTGAGAAGCTGCATGCCAGAAACCTCAGCAGAGGCTGGTCAGGATGTAGCAGAGGTGAGAGAGGTTAGAACTCACATGCCTGTCCCATGAACAGAGTTGGAGAAGTCTGGGGAGCAGGCCTCCCTCTCCTGCAGGAGCTCCTGTGCCCTGCTTTGTGTTATAGCGCAGTCCAGGGTTTGCTGCTGGGTTCTATACCCACCATGAGGGAGGGTCTGGGTTTAAATTCAAAGTAGGGGACGAGGTTGTTTGCCAAGTGGTTACGAGGTAGATGAAGAAAATTGGTGTCCGCTACTTTTAAGTGGGGGAGAAACCGCCGGTGGGCTCAAAGCGGATGCGCCTCTGGTCCGCCCTCCAATAGGAGCCCGCCAGAAACTCTTGGGGCCTTAGGCTTTGAAGCTTTGGAAGGAAGTCGCTGTGGCAGAAGGCACAGGCTTTGGCGTGTACCACTCATGTGGTCAGTGGCTGGGGCTGGGTCAGCCAAGCCTCATTCAAGACCTAGACTCCTGGCATCATGTAGGCTACTGGAGTCCCCCAGAGCACTAAATGTCTGCATGTGTGCACAATCAGAGCCGATACAGGGCCTCTCCAGCATGGCATGACCTAGCTCATCATGTTCCCTACCTACCTTCTTGAGCAGGTGAGCGTCAGGTCCTTGGGCTGTAGGAAGCCCGTGACATCACGTATCGAGTGTCACACGCCTCACTGGGGAGCAGCAGCTCTCACCATCACATTCACACTGCCTCATTCACTGCTGTGGAGACGCTATAGGGCAGGGCAGAATTGCTCCTTCACAGGACTAAAGTCCTGTCTTTTTCTGGCGGAGGTGCTGGTGGTTTTGAACTGCTGACCTTTCAGCTAGCAGCCCAGTGTGTAACCACTACCCCATCAGAGCTCCTAGCCTGAGTTAATGACGTATGACCAATATGGCCCAGAGAATGACTTTACAAATATCTAAAGAGCCCTTGGCAGAAAAAAAGGTTCCTCACACGGTTTGAGTGGCCAGTTACAGAGAAACCCATGAAATAGGGCTATTTTTAGTAATCCTAACAGAATTGGACCTAGCCCATCCATCGGTCCTTAACTGGGCACTTGGATGGTGTGGTGGTGAAATGTCTTAAAATGGCTCTGGTATCCATGGCTCGCTAACTCCCACAAATGACTGGGTGGGGTTACACAAATAGGGTGTGTGACACACTAACACAGGAGATCTGTGCCTGGCCGTAAGGACGAGCCCTCTCAGCAGGCCGAGAGACATCTCAGGGCCTTTGAATGAGCCCCCAGTGAATGTGGGGGATCTCCACCCGAAGGAGTGGGGACTGAGAGCTGAGGAGCCAGAGGCTAGGGGACCTTGAGGCAGGGCAAAGGAGCAGCACTGAGACCACAGGACTGCGAGGCAGAGCAGTGGGCTGCTTTCCTGGCCCGTGGAGGCAAGAGGCCACGGACCAGAAAGACTTAGCTACTGGTCCAGGAGAGTGTGGCTGTGGACCAAATGACGGAATCTTTGGATGTTTTCTGATCCCACCTTGTGGGAACCTATTTGCTTCCCTAATAACCCCCTTGTGAGGTCCGTTAAGCCCAGCATAGGCGTGTGTGGTGGGGAAGCAGCTGGTGTGAGATTAAAGGCTGTGGGGTGGAGGCATATCTGACCCTTGCCTCTGGGCAGCAGGGATGAGGTCAGACGTGGCTCCCCAAACCTTCCACATGTGGTTGTGTGACTCTGCTTTCTACTTGTGATGACTTATAGAAATGTAGGCTCCATATCAGGATTTTAATTATGTCCACAACTTTTTATTTTAAGAAATTCCAAATGTACAGAAACTGAAATAGTAGAGCACTGCTGCTCAAAGACAAGACTTTTGGATCAATACCAAAAAAAGTGGCATTCTGGACACCCTGGGCTCTGCACGGGTGTCCAGAGCACCTTCTCTGGGGTTCCCAAAGCAGCACCCCATTTTCCAGGGCTTTTTACTTCTCTCAGGAAGTCTCTGTCATGGCTTTAATAGTGGGTCGACACTCTCTCTTTAGAAACTCAGCCAGCCAGGCCGGGCGGAATGGGGCTGCTGCGGTCTAAATGGAAACGAAGTTGAGTGAGGCCAAGTGACCTAGCTGCTGCTCGAGGTTTCTGGCCATTCAGTGACCCAGCTGAGACCGGAGCAAAGACTTCAGACCAGCAGCTACTCACCCACCTCCGGTCACCTGTGCACCAAGACAGAACACCAGTTTCTTCTCAAAGTAGGGAAGCTACGGCCAAGGGGTCTTGTGAGACATGGGGAAACGGGCATACATTCACCCCTTGAGTGTGGCTGTTATCAGCCAGAAATCTTCCTGGGATTGAAAATGGAGTAGCCACTGGTTGTGGAGGACAGACCAACCACTGGCGTTTCTGACAAATGCCCCTGGTCCAAGTTGATTGTGTGTGGAGTTCAATGTTATGTTGAGCGAGTTCCCCTCTGTGGGCTGGGCCTGGAGCTTGGGGAACAGAGCAAATCAGACAGACAAGGATTCTGTCCTGTGGAGTTCACAAGGCCAAACAACTACCCAGCAGCCACCACTGAGACACCAGTGGACACTGTCTGGTCCACATAAGATTAAAAAAAAAAAAAAAGCTGCCAAATTTTACTTCTCAGAAAGGGCAACTTCAGAAAACTCTGGAAGACTGCCGGACCCTCCCCCAGCCCTATGATCTCTAGGTCCCTCAAGTTCCCACCACTGGCTACTGTCTGCCGCCCAGATGGCTGCTGGCCTGATTCAGGCATTTAAGGCATCCAGGTAGCCTCAGCACTGATGCCCAGCCCACAAAGGCAAACAAACATCCGTCCCAGCAGGATGGTGTGAAATGACACAAACTAAAGAAACTCATGCAGTGGGAGTGGCATGACTGGTGGGGAGGGGAGGTGGGGGCTCTCTGAAGTACGACTTACACTGAGACCCAAGTATGATGAGCATAAGGGAGCTGTCAGGAGACACGGGAAAGCACCCAGGTCAAGGGGATAGGGAGGCAGGAGCTCCACTCGGCTGTTAAGAACAGGAGAGAGCTGGGTTACATGGGGCCTTGGCAGCCCAGGAAGAAGTTGGGACTGGGTTCCCGGGTGGCCAGGGAGTTACTGGTGTTTTACCGGGTGGCCAGGGAGAAGACTCGGCTCACCTTTACCAAAGCTTCCTCTGCTGTGTAGGTAAGTGATGTGATTCAATGGGGCAAGAAGAGAGTCCTGATGGGACTCTTCTTGCCTCCGGCTGGGTGTGTGTGTGTGGGACCGAAGAAAGGGAGAGAAGTAGCATATTCAGGATGTACTGTGGAGCACTTCCAAGAGAAGGTTCGACTCTTGTGGTAGGGGGTGGGAGTAGACAGGGGGACAAGGCTTTGGCTTGCTGGAACATTCAGGGGTTGGGAGGATCAGTTCTTGGGAGCCACAGGGAGAATGTGATTGTGGAGGGGTCAATTTTGCCTAGACGCAGTCTTCCTTGACCTCTCCCTTTGCCCAACCTCCACAGGCAATGTCCCCTACCCAAATCTAGCCCTTGAACTTCACACCTATCGCCTCTCTGGCTTTGTCTCTTACAACAGCCCTCCACAGCTGAGCCCTAACAAACAGCACTTCTGAGATGAGACTGTGTCCACATCTCACATCCACGCTGCCTTTGATGGCAAAGCCCAAGCCCCACTGGTTTCCTGCGAGTGCTCGGCCTAGTGCTGGGCACGGGTAGGTGCTCAGACCTTGGATGGTGAGCTGAAAAGAGGTCGCCCAAGACACGATATAACTTCCTAGATGAAAAGAGTCCTGATTTGGGGACACACACAAAGCAGAACTAGATAGGTCGTGTTTGCCCCACTCCCAGAAACTGCCTTGGGGGTGGGGGTGCAGTTGTTTGTTTCTCTCCAATGTGGTTTCCAACAACCACACTCAGCCCCATCTCACTGGTGGCTGCTGAGTGGTACCGGACAAGAGCCACCAGGGCTCCTGAGTGGTCTCTTCCACATCCAGGGTATTTTTGACCCTCATGCCCCACCGTCTTTACAAGGACAGTTACATGCCACTCAACAAATCAGAAAACAAAGCGCAGAACAAAACCCCTTACGTTCTGAAGGAGCTAGCTGAAATCCCTTTCCCTGACCCCGGATGAGAATATTGACTTCACACATAGCCCACCCCCTGCCCTTCAAAATGGCTGCTCGATATTCAGGTGTCCCCTAAATGTCACCTCCA